CTGCTTCACAAGACTATCCCCAAAGAGTCAGGGGACATTTCCTTGAGTGCATGTTTCAGCAGAAGGAATTGATAAAACTTTTCTTTACTCTCAAGTCAAAACAGTCAAAAGATAATGGGGATTATTACATTTTACTAAAATAATATTTCATTTTAAAGGTGAAAAAGAAAAAAAAAAAAAATTTAAAGCAGTGTACATGATTCCAGACAGATCTAGGAAACAAAATTCACCAGATTAACAACAAATTAACTTCATTATTGTTAATGATTTTATTTGTATTTGGATAACCAGTTCAATCCAGAGATAGCGAGACAAAATTTGCCAGCAGTTGATTGCAGAATTCACAGCCAAAAGAACAGTATAAAGTATGAACTCATAAAAAGAATGTCAAGCATAATGATATAAAACTCTAGCAGATAATTTTAGCCTCCAAAATTCTCCAAACTTGAAAGCATAGTCTACTTTCTCAGAAAAATATGAATCAAAAAAGGAAAGCAGAAAGGGAAAACAAAAAAAGGGCATATAAAGCACAAATTTGAAAGCAATGATCCAAGGAGGACTAATCAGATGTTCAAGTATATCTTCTAGTTCATACCTACGGCCAACTGGTGATCTATGCATAAGGTGATCTGTTGGTGGTTCAGTAGCCAATGCAAGTGCTCCAAGAGTATCCATAATCAGGTTAACCCATAGTAACTACAAAAGAAAAAAAAAATTATGTGTTCAAACTATGGCATCATAAAGAAACCTTTGAATGCTGGTTGCCACAAATTTTTCTTAATAAATTATCCCTTTACCGCTTTCCCCCCACCCCTGTACTCAGTAGTAGAAGGGACCTCCAAATCTGAATTTTAATAATAAAAGCAAAAAAGGTTCAGCAATTTTATAGCTTTTATGCATCCACCTTAACGTATAAAAAGTTTTTTTTTAAAAAAAAGGAAAGGAATTTTCTATATAAAAGTAATAAAAAAGCATCCATAAAAATTCCCCAAATCATATTACATGCCTTACATAACAAGTGAGAAGAAAAACTAGAAAATCAATGGAAATAAACCATCCTATTCCCTCCATTAAATTCAATGTAAAAGGTTCACTCTATCAGTTTGGAGTTAAGGATGCAAACAATGAAAGAGACTTATAATCAACATAATCAGATCTTCTACACTTATGCCACAATAAATCAGTCTGAATGCAACCAAGTCTTTATCTCTCAATCACAGTAGTCTAATTAAAGAAAAAAAAAAAGGGGTTCGCATTCCTTCTGTCAACTTGAATTTCCCAGGCAAAAAAGAAATAAAAAATGTCAGATATGACTATTTTAATTGTTTTTTTTTTTTTAGTATTGAGAGTATCTACAACCCTTAATTCCTGAAAAATGCTCAAGAATAATCCGGAAAAGTTTGCAGTGGAACAGGGTTTTTCGTTTTCTTTCTTTTCTCTTTCTTTTTTTATAGGGGTAGTATCAGAGAGGGATAGGATGGGAGGCAGAGAGAGCTATACCTGCACTGAATTTAAAGGGACATCACCAGAAGACACTGCTGCCACAACATTGATTACAAGAGCAGCAACATTAACAGTAAGTTGGAATTGTATAAATTTCTGAATATTAGCATAGACAGAACGCCCCCAACGAACAACCTATAAAACACAGAAAACATAATCCTCAATTTTTTGGATTTTGATGTGAGCCTATTGTTCATGAAAACATGCCCTGTGTCCACCAACCTTTACAACTGAAGCAAGGTTATCATCCAAGATAATAATATCTGAACTTTCTTTTGCGACTTCAGTTCCTTGAATGCCCATTGAAAGACCTATATCTGCCTAAAATACAAACAAAAAGTAAATATGCAATCCATACTGAAGAAGAAGAAGAAGAAGAAGAAGAAGAAGCAAAAAAAAAAAAAACAAACAATTGTAGCTTGAGTATATGTAGTTTAGAAGATAACAATATAGTCACAGTACAGTAGATGAGGTCAGAGTAACATTTTATTAGACCTAGAATCAAGTATCACCATCAAACTTTTCAAGGCATCAAAAACATCAAGGTTGCACATCCATGTATTGGCAAATTTGTCATTGACCATAACATGCTACAATTCTCCGAAATCAATCTCTCAAGTGTGGTGAATAATGACTCAGAAACTATTTACATGTATCTAAAGAAGACCCTTACAACAGTTGCATATGCTTACAGAAAATGCTAAATTTTTTATGTTTTCTGACATAATTTGCATGTTACTAACCATAAAAGCATCATCAATGATGGAATATAATCTGAATCTGCTATATTGCTATTAAACAAGCAACTTTTCTATCATGGGATAACATTCTTCTGTAAGAATGATTGCAAAACATACATTCCCAACAACAGAGTGCAGTTAGTCGAAGAAATTAACTTTCACAGCTCTGAATCTAAAAAATTGGCAAAAATAAAAGGCCTGTGTCTACATCAAAACAATAGAAAATCTCCATGTGCATTATTTATAAAGGCTCAAATAATGCTTCTTGAAATGAATACAAGTCAGGGTCATATTCTCTAACATGCTTGAATATTTTCATAATCATAAAAGCCCCAATAAAAGTTAGCTCAGCCTTAAGTACTTAATAGATGCAAAGAGAACAAACCTCATGCAGTGCAGGAGCATCATTAGTACCATCTCCAGTTACTGCAACAACATCTCCGCCCTTCCTAAGTGCTTGCACAAGTAAAAGCTTGTCACTAGGAGAAGACCTTCCCATCACCTATAAATCACTCTTAATTGATCACCCATCCACATTTCACCAACCAAAACATTTAATCTTAAGTTTCAAGGAGAAAACACGAGGAATTGAAGTAAAACATACGGCCAACATTATACTTATTGAAATTTCATGTTTTTCAACCATACCGTTATTTTCTTTGCAACTTGTTCCCTTTCATTTTCAGATAGTGCACGGAACACTCTTCCTTCAATTATTATAGGATCTATAGCATCTTCTTCAGAACAAAGAATCCCACATTCTAAAGCTATTGCTTTCGCTGTTTGAAGATTGTCTCCAGTGACCATGCGCACCTACATATACACAAATGTACAATTCCAATCAGCTTGTTTTCAAATGACCAAAAAAATTCGGCTACTTTTCAGATAGTTTAACCATATTATATAATTTTTTGGCATTAATCATGACATATTATTAAGATATATAGTCTTTCCTACAGGTTCACCAGTATCAACAATTAATTTCAAATAGGCTAAATTATATGGAAGGGAATAATAAAATATTAAAATTGACTGTGCAATGTAAGAAATATGGCATGATTAGACACAGAAGGATCAATTAAATATTCAATATAACAAAAATTCTAATGCTCATCTTCGAAAGTCATGAAAAAAATACCTTAACACCAGCATCCATGCATATTTTCACTGCTTCTTTGACGCCTGGGCGACAAGGATCCTGCGGATGACAATTATCTCAGCTAAAACCTGACAATAGTTGCAGCTTTGGCTAGCATATTTCTCACAAAAGTTTAGGACCTGACTATGGAAATGTAAAATTCCTTTTTTTCCCACTCTAATCAGCAAGAAGTATCAATGTTCAGTATCTTTTCTCACTTACCAGAGTATCAACAAAGGCAGCATGTTTTAATATTAAAGTTTAGCCACAGAGGAAAAGAAAAATCAATCATTATGCTCTTGAGTGTAACCCAACAATGGCAATCTTCAATCCTCATTAACTCAAATGAAAGGGAAGAAAGCAAAGGAGAAAGAATTAAAATGAAACAGGTAAGATGGGAAATGGTGTTGTGTTGCTGGGACTTAAAGTAGGCAGTGGTATTCCATATCATTACTATTTTGCAAAGAGTAAATCTACCTTTGAGTAAACATCAAAAAATCATTTTACTTCTGTTAGCAAATCTTCATGTTTGAACTTCTATGAATGTAAGAACTTACCATTAAGAGATCACATAGACTGGAAGAAGTTCCACCAGAAAGAAAAATAAAAAATAATAATAATAATAAAAGGGAAAAATTCTTCAGCAATAAGCTTTACTATAATACTCTAAATTGTAGTAGTCCACATGCAGATTTCATTAAGGGTACATTTGGACAAGGGAAGATTACATTTCACAGGAAGGTTATTATGGAAAGTTGACATTCTATGTTTATTTCATAATTTTGATTGGCAAGATTTCCTTGAAGGCTATTTAGTTGTGTTTGAGGGAGAGAATAAAGTTTAGAGTTTTAAGATTTCAAATGAATAACACTGTGTTGAGTGTTTTCTTTCATTTAAATACAATTCATTATATTTTTATTTAAATAGTTCATGTATCTTAATATAATATCTATGTTATTACAGTAGTGCCAATTACGCCGACTACTGTTGCTTGAATGGTCAACTAATAACAACGTAGTCAATTAATTATATTTGAGATCATAATAGCTGATTATAGAGAGAAAACATGGTCTAGATATAATAAAAACTAACCAATGATTATCTTAACCAGTCAACAATATCAATTTCATTAAAATTAGAATGTTCTTTTGGTAATTCTACAGGTGGCTTCATAGAATAAATGAGGGGTTGTGCCATTTTTACCCCTCCTTTGGGAAGGTTGCTTCCCAAGGTTTGATTAGGGAAGGAACTTTCAGAGTATTTTGCAAAGATTCCTCAGGTAGGCCACCTTCTCACATGTTTTTGTATGCTGTTAAGTGGGGAAATCCCATATTGATGGATTGAGGGGAAACCTGTGGTCTTAAATACAATATGGGCATGCATGCTGAACACAATGAAGCCAACTTACCACTCCTCAGCAATTAGCCAAGGAAATAGGCAAGAGTCCTTCCTAAATGGCAGAATGCTAAAGATTATAATCAGCAGCCTAGATGTTACATTCAGTAACAAACATAGAAGGGAAATTAATAATAGAATTAGAAACTTCACATACCTTAATGCCAACAATTGCAAGTAAAACAAGGTTATCCTTGGGTAACACCCAGTGATTCAAGCTCTCTTCATCACTAGGAACTTTCTCTTTTTCATACAATCGGTATGCAATGGCAACACAACGTAGGCTACATGCAGCCATGGCATCAATAGCACCCTTGAAAAAATCCTGTGTAAATGATTTCAAAAGAAATGAGAAAAAAACCTAATGGAATAATTTGAAGAGAATTTTTAGTTTACTATCATCAAGGCAAAAATTCATTATTAGAAAAAGCTTTACTGTTTTTCTCATGATGATATTGAATCATTTCCCACAACAAACTGTTCTCAGCATGGCAAAAAGCAATTCAAACCAACACAGTTTTGTAAGTTAATAGCATTATACCATTTCATTACTAGAACAAATCATTTTGTAAGTAGTCTCAAAAGATAGGAACAGGAACTCAAATTTTCAAAACAAGGAATGCTAATACTGAAATATACCAATATATAGCATGGCATCTAACTTATAGCAGAAATCTAAAAAGTTAACATCCAATAGTAATTAAATTAAAAAGAGGAATTTATTCAAAAACCAGTAACTCTTAACCTCAATGAATGTACTCAGGATTGAAACAATGGCTATAAACTCAAGTTTCTGTCCCTAAGTTAGGCAATAAAATGTACATTCACTTATGTATTGATCATAAACTAAGCCATTTTTGTAATAAATTACATTACTTCATGGTTTGATAAATCAACAAGCAGAAGTTTATCATAAACTTATAAATATCAGGAATCTATCTAATATATAAGCAAAACTGATACTAATGATGAAAAGTCACATCATATTTTAATCCAAATCAGGAGCAACCATACTTCACTGAGTTAGATTTCACTCAATTTCAAATCACAGATGTCAACTCATTTCCCTTGAAGTTTATTCCCAAAAAGAATCTTTAGAAAGGCTATACATCAAGAAAGCAGTTTCTGCTAACCTTATCTTCATCAATGGATTGCAAGCAACCATTTGAATCAAGATATCCTGTACATGAGGCTAACATCATCTCAGCTGCACCCTTCCAGTGTATATGAACTACAGAATCGGGCTGGCAGAAAGAAAATAGGGAACATCAATCAGATGAAATTTTGAGAATGTAGTAAAAACCAATGTGAATTTCAAAAGAAAAAATAGAATCAATTATAGTCAGCTTTTAAAATGAACAAATGTTTTCAAGCCTAATAATGATAAATTTGTTCCCAATGGCATTCACATAAAAGCTGTAACAGCATAAATTAAGGAGCCCAAGAAAAGTACTATTGTTAAAAACCATAGTACTTTATTAGTATATTTCCAAAAGTATGCAAAATTTGAGAAATTGCTGAGAATGCTTTGGTCATGGTGAAAAAAAAAAGGATCTTTTGTCCATATAAGTTTATTAAAAATCATATGCTGGTACATAAATCAGTTAGCCTTACACAAACATCTTGAGCCATAGATACAGAAATTAATTCACGTACTGAGTTTTAGATAATTGCAACTCAAAATTTAACATTACACAGGCATGTCCAAAGCACCAATTAGTGAGACTGGAAAATTACCCGTTTAACAGCAACACCACCTCGCTTTTTCTCTGAGTTGAAAGGGATAGCATGAATAACAGTAGACTCTGCTCTGGCAACATCAAACTTCATGCCAAGCTGCATGGGTGTGTTTAGTAAGATCCCCAAACAAAAGAAAAGTTAAACTAAAGGAGCAAGTGGATGGTAAAATATGGAACCTTTACTGCCCAAGAAAGTATAGCTTTTTCTGTGGGAGATCCAGAAACCTCTACATCCCCACCATCCTGCAAAAACAAAAACATTGAGTGAGACACTTGGTGCTTCGAATTGAAGGTGATGGCAATATGAACCAGCAGAGTCAAGAACAGATGATAAGGCCCTTGAGATAGTCCATCCACAGGAAGAAGGGAAAAGAGACGAAAAAATAGAAAAGAAGACAGCTTTATTTTAACTCTTTAGCCACATGTACACCTTAATCTGATCGGGTGTGCCAGCCTTATCTTCCTAATAACATCCTGGCTAACTTTAAGACATTATCCAACAGCCATTATATGCATTTTTATGGCAATTATTGGTACATAGTCTTATTTTATCCCCATGCAAAACCTAAAAGCTATGAAAAACATGAAGGCTAGTAGACAAGTCCAGAAATTTTCAATTTGCTCATCTTATTTGGTTCCAAATATTTAACATATAGCATCAGAAAAATTTAGGGGAAAAAGAACTTGAAATAAGCTTAAAATTGAGATTGCAAGGCAACATTTTCTTTCTAAGCCTTCTACCAAAAGGTCTTTGAACTAGGGCAAGTGTAATTTCAAACTTCCATTAAGTTCATCAACAATTTATGTTTATACCCTGTTTTCACATATTTTAGAATCTGGAAATGTTAATCAAATGAATTAGATATCTCCATAAGTCCACTGTTCTTTGCTATGAACTTCCAAGGAAACTTTGCTCCATTACCATCAAAGGACATATTTCCGTGGTAACTTTGTGGGTTCTATGAAATTTCTCCAAGAACCAACATTTTAAACTTGATGAAATTAAAGTGATTTTAAAGAAAGGAAGAGTGCATTTGAAATTCTTCTGGTAACCAAAAGTACCCTGAGCAAATGGCTGAGAATTTGCCTAAATTGATTGAAAGAATTCATGATTCTACCATATTCAAGCCTAAACTTTGGAACAGTAACAGTAATAGTGACAGAATCAGTAATGAAGAAGCTCTCTTGATTATTATGACATATTGTTTAAAAAAACAAATAAGCAATTTAAAAGTTACCTTCGGCACAAAAACGTTGCCTGCGCTGTTTTGTGCAATCCCCTCATTCAACAGAGACACTACTGATGGATGCAACTGTGAGAAGTCAGCAGGTAGATTTATCTTCTTCCTCCCAACATAAGCCTCAACAACTGTCATCTGCATTATATTTTCAATCAGTTTTGATATCTAAAGCCTTTTACCAAATTTACATTAAAAAAAAAATATATCCTTAGAATAGGACGTAGAAGTCAATGTAAGTGGGTAACTGCTAATATATTTGGAAAAAAAATTTTGGCCTTTTAAAAATTACCACGCCACCACACAACCAAGCAGATGGTTAATAAAAAATTGCCAATGAAACATATATCAAAATAATGACATAGAATATGAAATTGGTGGGTAGAAATAGGTAAAGGGATATGGTAATCACGCAGCTATTCTAATTCATAAATTGCTTTTGTATCTTACAAGGAATATGCTGGTATTTAGATCACTTCAGAAAGAAATGAAATTGTCATTGGTAAAAGTTCATTAAATAAAATGGAGAAGCACAATATGAAAGGGAAATTTGATAAGGAGATGGAAGTACAATCTCAGCTTATTATGAAGTGTTGGATAATTAGAAAGCATATGCCAGTAAGATAGTGCGGCTGAATTTATAATGTGAGATCAATGTGGCAAAACAAAACATTCTTAAGAAGAAAAAGTGAGCAACAAGAAATAAAGAGCATATAACTTTCGAAGGTCTGAGCATATATAGCATAGATCAAATAATATTCCTTTTAAGTAAAACTGAAGTAATTCCAGCAGAGGAGAAGAAGTTAGAATAAATAATATGGGTAGAACTAGTAAAAGAAGAAGTGGCTTAATACCAACAACAGCATGGTTGAATAAGTCACCCCACAAACTTTAAAGTTTAAAGCCTTAATTTTAGGGTTAAGAAGAGGGTTCCAAACTTCCAACATTTAGCTAAGCAAGAAGAAATGGATGCAGTACCTCAATAACAGAGAAAAAAAAAGGTTTTTTTTTTTTTTTTTTTTTTTATCAGCAACAGAGAAAAAGGGTTAAAGGTTTACTAATGAAGCATGATGGAAGAAGATGATACCTGCAACCTCTCTCAAGGTTTCAACTAGTTTGGGTTGGGAATAAGACTCAGTAAATTGAGGTCTAAGACATAAAAAACCAACAGTCAAAGTGGGATTAGATAAGATGGCTTTATAAGTCTTATCACTCTTGCAATGTGTCCAGCTAACGTTCAAAACATTTCCTTTCCTTCCAATGGTGAAAAGTACACCAGCAAAATCTTCAAGGCGATAGCGATAGTTATAGCAAAAAATATAAAGGTTTTGGGAGTAAAGGTGGATAGTTCTATGTTTTAGAATATTTGTCACCATAGCTTTTATTTCGAAACCACATTATCAGTTATATTTAGGAAAACCTGCCTTAACTATTGACAAAATTTTTGTAACCTAAATTACCTAATTATTTAATAATTAACCAAATTCCAATGTACCAAAGTTCCCCCTATATCAAACCTGATTCAGAGTTAATGTCCCAGTCTTGTCGCTGCAAATTGTGGTTGCAGAACCCATGGTTTCACAAGCTGAAAGCCTGCGCACCTGCATTCTCACTTCAATTAGACTAGGATACAAAATTAACTCAGAAATGGAAGTGAACTGAAAACAAAAGAAATGATATTAACACTTGCCAGTGCTTTATCTGCCATCATCTTTCGCATTGAGTAAGCCAGACTGCCATGGAATCAAGTAGAGGAAAAGCAAAAATGAAAGACCAAAAAAGCATTAGAAATATTCAAACAGCACCAACACTGTTTTTAGTGAAATAAAAACCGGCTACTTATACTTACGTCAATGTAACAGCCAAAGGAAGGCCCTCAGGCACTGCAACAACCACAATGGTTACCTGCACAGCCCTATGGCGAATCAGAAAGTCTTGAAAAGTCACTATTTATATAAACATAAAAAAGAAATCAAGCTACCACACTTACTGCAATGGTAAAAATTTTAACAACCCCATTTATTGCCTCACTAATGCTAGTCTCGCCTTTGACAAACTGAACTTTTCCACTTGGATCTCTCGTGTGTCCAGTAAAGTATCTAGAGAAGTTAACTAAATGTAATCAAATCGGATGGTAAACTTATCTTGCAGGAAAATCTTCACTGCAATGATTCTCAACTTACCTGGCCAAAAGGACAACAAGCACAGAAACAGCAACGGAAAGCCCAACTATGCCTATAAAAGTTGCAACTCCGTTCAAGCGTACCTATTGCAAGCAATTAAAGTATAAGCTTAATGTGCATGACATTCACTGTATTTAGTTTCTATTGTAGCATTCTTATTTGAGAGAAACCTGCAAGGGGGTCTCTTCACCGGTATCCTCCGATATGCTTGCCATCAACAGTCCCCATTCAGTATTGATACCAGCACCAGTCACCTAGATATTGTTTAAGAGACTAAATTTCATGCAAGATATCAATAATCAGGTTTTTTATTATGCTGTAATGACAGCCAATTTTAGGGTTATGCAAAATATTATGTGAAATTGTCATTTGCAAGGTGAATTTAGAAAAGGCTAGGTGGAGTTGCTTTGAGCTAAATTGACGGTAACATTGAGTTCTCCAAGGTATAGGTAGAGAAACAATCAATTACAGGGGAAAAGAGGAACTAAACAAGCATGCGCTGTCCCCTAAACGACATCCAGAACTTCCTTGTTGAGGTGAGGAAGTGTTTGGCAAATGAGAGGGCTATCCCCTATTGTATATTCCATCGTCAAAAGTACCAAAAAACCAAAAATAAAAAAGAAGCATGCACTAGCAAACTACACTCATAATTGTATTAATCAAAGCCTAAGCCCATTAAAACATGAGATTACATAGACATTCATAAAGAGACTTTTTTTTCTATCCCAATGGAATTAGGATCTTGAGAAGAAAACTTCTAAACAAGCAAGTAGCCCACTTCTCTCAGCAACAAAATCATAAATGGCCACTTTGGCTCCAAAAAATGAAAACCTAGAACAATCTATCTGACCAAATTATAAAAATGAATTTACGATGTGATGACATTAGAATTATAATTCCACCCAACTAGAATAGAGTACAATATAAAATAAAACCATGAGTTGCAAAAAAGCAAAACAGATAATGAACAAGAAAAGGCTAAAGAATTAAGTCGATACTAGATACAACCACTGGAGAATCCGGCCTTTCTTTAATTGTAACTATAGAAATTCAGCATTTCATCTTACTTTTTATCTACTATGCATATTTTCACTTTTTATCTATCATTTTTGTTATCAACACTATATATTTTAAAGTTAGGGGCAGAATTGTAATTTCCTCAGTTTTATGCTTTAAAGATCTTGTAATTTGGTTAAACCTGTGTTATTCTACATATCATTACCAGTCTAGGCTTTATTTAATTATAAACCCAGTTTTTTTTTTTTTTTAATCAGTAAAGAAGTTAGTGCTTATAGCTATTACAGAGGTTCAAACCCCAACCTTAGCCCAGAATTAAGGTTTTGAAGTTCCTGGTATCGACTTGGTTTTCTATCATTAACTAGTATTCCTCTTATATTTGCAATCCTCATCCTAGTGGTAAAGAAATATTCTAGGGGTCTTAAAGCTATAACAAAGCAAAAGGCATGATATAAATTACCAGCATAGTACCAACACCATCCGCTACTTTGCAGCCAGACATCAAAAATGGTTCTTTCTGATCCTTGTTTACCTGAAAATAAAAGACATTTTTAAAAAACTATTAGATCTAAATCTTTAGATAGCTACACCTCTGAAAGGTATAAACTCACAATCTTGCTTTCACCAGTCATGCTAGACTCATCAATTGCAAGAGAATGGCCAGAAATTAAGATTCCATCAGCTGGGACCTGAGTGAAGCATAAAAGTAGTAGTTTGAAACAAGCACACCCGAAAGTAAATGCTAGGAAAGAAGCTCAATGACAAAATGCACCTACCTGATCACCTATTTTAAGAGGTACGACATCACCAACTACAATATCATATAAGGACACCTTTATTGTTCTACCACCTCTCATGACCTGTATGGATTTTCAAAATGTATATAGTCCACTTAAATTACCAAGAACAGAAAATGTGAAACATGTTACGCATTTTTGCTGGAAGACACCTCTAGTTGTATATTTCGCTTTTCCTCATTTAGATTTTGAAACTGAAGAGATTGACGATAATCACTGGTAGCTAGAAAACAAAAACAACAGTAAAAGATCAATCCTTTTGGTGTATTAATTACAAAGCCTTGCCAATGGGCAAATACATAGCTAGTCAAAACAGCAATTGATTAGAAAAGTTCAAAATTCAGCACTAGGGATATATGCGTAATGAATTCTGTTTACGATCAATGAAGGGACTACACTGAAATAATTCAATACCTGTAACAACTATAACAAGAATAACAGCAAAAAAAATGCTTCCCCCATCATACCATCCTTCCTTCAAACCCTAGGAAAAATACCAAAAAGAAAAAAGATTAGCTAGATGGTTAACAGTGTAAAAGGAAAGGGGACAAAAAATCCAAGTTGAAGTGAAGAAGATCAACCTAAATTAAGTGCCATTGACTAACAAGTGGTCAAGAGAATGGAGTGGTAAGACAACAAAAATAAAAAATAAATAAAACAGAGTTCAAGCAAACTAAAAACTACTATCAGGACATTCTTCTCTAGTGGAATAAGCTCATTTTTTCCCCTAATTGGAGCAATTAATGTTCAAGGAATTACTCTAAACACCTAAAATAAGACCAGATTATTTTTGAGAAACCAAATAAGCATGAGTTTAGCAGATTTAAGATAAATTTCATAAAATAGTTTAAGCAAAAAATAAGAAATTGCTAAATCATTATATCCACAAATTAATATATAGACAGAACGTTGATATACTATCCGAAGCATAAATTTCTATTCTGAGAAGGCTGAAAACTTTTAATGAAAATATAAAATGATGTATCTAAGACTTTATTAAATAATATAATTAACTAAAGCAATTTTCACTTGCAACTATCTTCATTACTCAGATCATTCAATATGAAGTAAACAACAAATTAATTATATTCGTATTATGTCTATTCTTAGACTGCTTTCTCTATTCTTGAATTTTTGCAAAAACACAATAGCAGACAATGGTAATTGCCTAGGTTCAACAAATATAAAACCGTATACATCTAGGGAAGGGTGCACTTTGCACCTACAAGACATATATAAAGCACATTGGCCCTAAGGAACATAAATTTTCAGGCAAGATAGGTACCTCTCAATTTTAAAAAATGAGTAAAAACAAAAACAGGAAGAAAAGCCATACCTCTGTTTGTATTCCCAATACCAATGAAACTGCTGCGGCTATAATCAATATGGTAAGGGTTAAATCTTGCCACGCTTCCCAAAGGAATGTCTGTAGAACAATCCAGGAAATAAGCAACATATTATGGCAGAATCATAGTTTTAAAAGGAAATAACAAAGAAAGGAAAAAATATATATCAGAAAAGATACCCAGAAACTCCGTCCTTTCTTCTGAGGATATGTATTTGATCCAAATGCATCCCTCCGCTTAAGCAAATCAGTATCATCCCCATTAATTCCTGTCTCTAGATTTGTTCTCAACAAACCTGACAACCCTTTAACCTGGAGAAGGAATCCACAAAACCTATACACAGTAAGTGCAAAGAAGGAACTACAGTGTTAAAATAAGAAAAATTGCATCACAACCAACCTACCCCACCATATTGTTGTAGAGAAGAAATATTATGATTTCTAGTCATCGAAGCAAGTTGTTCTACTCCAATTGTATAATCACCACAAGTAGTTGGAGATGCAATGGGTGTATCTAAAGTATAAGAAACAAATTGATAAGAAAACTTTATTGCCAATAAAAAATAATGAAAGAAGTTGATGCAGCTGAGCAAAAGAATACTCAGGGGTTCAAGTTAAGCTATTGGGGGTTAATTTATTTTGATCTTTGAGGATTATTTTGCAAGTTTAATATAATTCTAGGACCTAGGAATAATTATGTTATTTGAATAATATTACTATTAGTTTTCTCTTTCCATTAAAAATAATTTGGGATAGTTATGTCCTTTTCAATTAAGAGGCCTTCAAACCTTATTTCTTAACATCCCCCTCCCCCCAAATTGCATAGTGGACACGAGAATGGGAAAATAAGAATGGGTCTAGCAGATTAGTCATGAGATCTCAAAAGAGACAATTGATTGCAAACTTGAATAAATAAATATATGAAATTCCATTTATAACAGTCTCGGAAGATTCATGATCTCAGATGTACTCGTCTTTCATGCAGATTGAAAATAAAATAAAGTCTGAAATAGAATTAGTCAAAAATAATTTATATTTTAATCCCATACATTTCACTGGATACTCATTCTTCATCACTCATCTTCTTGCAATGCATACTAAAGTTTACTCCCACAACCATCATTGTTACTTCATAGCATGTTGCTGAATAGACTCTTATTACTTAAGATATTTAGGTTAAAAGTAGATTAAAAAAAATGACTTCCAATCTCTAACTAGGAAACATTAAGATAGCAGCAAAATCGTTGCTGAACATTTTGCAAAACAACTTACCAGTTTGTTGTTCTCCAGCCAATCTGAAGAGAAATGCTGCCTGAGGCAATGAGTGATTGTCAATTAAAGATGACAAAATGATGTAAAATGCCTGTGTAAAAAGTATATTGAAATAGAAACCATTACCCTTATGACTTGTGCATGGGTTCTAACCATCCTTCTCCTTTGCTCCTTCTCTTCTTCCTTTCTCAAGTCCAAAGTATAACGAAATCGACGAGAAGCATTAAGCACAAGCGCTGCTTGCTGTAAAAAACCAAGAACTTTACAAAAGTATAGAAGAAAATAACATTGGCTTATGTATGTGAAGGAAATGCTTTCTTTTTTAACAAAAAGGGCAATGTATTCATCATGTGATACTGCAAAGAAATCAAATGCTTAATCAATCAAATTTTTTAGAAGATAACTAAAAAAAAACTCATTAACTTAGAAGGTAATCAAAATGCTGAAGAAAAACTGTTGTCTACTTTGCCCCGCAATACCATTTACTTGAGCCCATTAAAGATCCATGAAGATGGAAGGTATTATCAAGTTCTGCCAGGCAGTTCCCTCGAGAAAGTAACATCTCTAGCGAAATCATATCTGATACCACAGCAGAACAAGGCAAAAAGAACAGATACACGCAAGCTAAAAGTTGTTTAAACACCTTCCTCTTGCTTCCTGACCTAGAGAAACTATAATATGAGACCCCTTAACAGAGATACTCTGTCGTTGCTCTCTATGAAACACAGAATACACTTGGATAAATTGTGCAAAGCTTTCCATGTAAAATACAATGCATACATTAAAAACAAAGCACATTTTATCAATGAACAGGCCACCTCAAGGAGAAAGACAGGGTAGATGTTAATAAATTTGCATTAAAATTATGCCATGTCTTTCCATTTCTTGCATTCAGCGTTAATTCCCACTCATCCCAATTGCAGCAGCATACAAAAATTTATTTCCATAATAAGATATCAATCTAAAATAAAATGAAAATGCAGAAGCATAATGGCATTGCAGGGGAAAGGAGAAAATCAAGATGCACATGCACATGAATGAGAAAGAAATTACCCTCCAGCGCTTGAGCGTCTCATGAGGCGCATTCTTGGTGTTGGCGATGTTGAAGGGGTCGGAAGGGCCAACATCGACCTCCAAGCT